ACTTGGAGCATGGGATAACTATTGTTTTAATTTAAGTATTAAGTTGATTAATCGACACAGTATACAATGAATAATGTGTAATCAATATGGTGATTAAATAAAAGGTGTTTTATTTATATTCAAAAGTTTTGAGACCATATTGAATTCGATTATTATTGTGTTTCACTTCGCATGTTTTGAATTTCCAAATAATAAGATTATTCAAACCATCCACACTCGACCATAGTTTGGAAGTAGGTATTGAGGCAAGACTGTCATGAATCTGATTGTAGATTGTCTAAAGTGTTTAGACATAACACAAGTTTGTTGCAGTGTTCATGAGTACTCCTGTAATAAGATTTGAGTATTGGATTAAACCCACACTCATCTAAATCACTTCATAGATTTTCTCACGAGTGATTAGTGAGACAATAATATCTTATATTCTTGAAACGGAGACATACAATTGCAGTTTACAAGTTGGTTGCACATTGATGATATATAAATGCACCAGTAACTTGGTGTTATAAAATGTATTGTTGTGTGTGATTTGATAAGTAAGTAGAGCAAGCATATGAGTCGAAGTTTATCCATTACTTTACCCTAAGAGGGATAAAAGCGATATCATTGGGCCCCTCGATGATTTAGTGATGACAACCCTAAGCGCTTGGCCAAGCATGGAATGTTTTGATTTGTTCAATTAGTCGGTCGTCATAAATCAAAATAAGAAAACAACATATGAACAGAGAGAATGATTATAATCCATGTCTCAGTTCATACGATATCTTGTGGAATGGAGGAATATATGATCCCTTATCTAATGGATGCATTATTGACTAGGTCAGAGTTCGACAACAATTTTTGAGAGCTACGATTGCTAGTCGGGTTTTGAAGTCGTACTTACAGTTATAGTTATTAGACTTATCCAAGTGGGATACTGTTGGATTAGGTATCTAAGCCCATAACTATAATTGTTATGTACTTGACCCGAGAGTAGCATAGTCCATTTCGGGTTGCCTTCACCAGAATAATTTGACAGAATGGATATTTGAGAAAGAGATTATTTGTGATTTATTAATATATTATAAGTATAATATATTAATTGAGAAATCATATTATTTAATTAATACTGGTCAAGAATTAATTTTGAATTAATTTAGTGATAAAAAGAGATTAATTAAATTAAGGAGACTGATTAAGTAAATCAGTAATACATATAGTTTGGGCCAATGATCCATGATTGATTAGTGATGGACTAAGTTTATGTGAAATTCCATGAAGTGTTAGTCCATAAGGTTTATCATATGGATTATTGGATTAAAGGCCCAAGGAATGAATTAAGGTTTACAAGTTGAAACCCTAGGAATTCCACATTATAAAAGTAACCCATTGGCTCCAAATTCACAACCCCAATGGTTCTAAGAGAACCCTAGTTGATTTTGGTGGTTCTAGCCTCTCTTACTCAAAGTCCTCCATTTGTTCATGGTGTTTGTGACTTCTTTGAGGCATCACACTTGAGGTGCTAAGCTCTTGAAAAGCCAACTACAAGCTACAAATAAGAGGTATTCTTCTAACTAGTTTTATGATTCATGTACCAAATTTGTATGCTAGATAGGTTTCATGTTTTGGATATTTTTATGTTGCATGTATAACTAGAGAAAACTAAGATCCAAAGCATTAGGATTGTATGTGCACCATAGGAGTGTTATAATACTTAAAACCCAACATCCTCCACCAACAAGTCTTTATATTTAAGAACTATCTTTTTCATAGGTGTAGGAGGGATAAATTGCATGGTATTTAACATCTCCCCTTTTACTACATTGGAATAAAATGAAGGACCAGCCCCATGATTATAATTATAATTAGAATTATTCTTTGCACCCTCCACTTTCCCTGTCGAGTTAGGGTTATCATGTTTAAATCTTGCCAACGATACAAACAGGTGAAACTGATCAATCCATAAAGTTTTTTTTAGAAAAATCAATTTCATTCAACAATCCAATGAATGAAATGAAACCCAACATCGTCGTGCCTTGAATTGTTTTTGTGTTATATACATGTTAACGACTTTTCCATGCAACATACACCACTTCCATAAAGCTCTAGAATCCAAGTGATAGTGAATTTTTTTTATTAGAAAGACGAAGCAACTCTATCAGCATCACACATTTAGGTATTTTGGATTGGTCTACTCGTTTCACTCTTATAGCCCCCATTTTGATTGACTTCGTCTTCGTTCATCTGAAATCGCTACCCAATTCGCCAAACCCATCCATCATCCTCCATTCTATACCTATTCCCAGTGAGATTGCTCCCACCCCCACCCCCAACGTGCCTTAATTGGAAAACCTAGGTCAAAATGAAGTCAACTTTGTTGCTGTTGTAGTTTTTTTTAATCAAATATCATATATTTACTTATTTCTAGCAACACTACTTTTATTTTTTTTTCTATACAACATTGTATTTTATTTAATTAGTTTAAAAAGTCTATCTAATTATAATCTTTATATTTTTTTTTTTGTTTTTCTATAGTAGGGAAAATTATTTTGTATGTTGATGATGTTATTATAACCAATGATATTGTTTCTTTTATGAAAGGGAAAATTTCATATTAGCCCATTGAACTTATCGTGTTTGTTTTAAAAGGTCATCCAACTTTTTTTTGTACATTAAAGGAATGAACTCTCGTTTAACCTGTTTAAAAAATCACTTAACTCATTATAACCAGTTTTAATCTCATTGTAGCCTCATTTCAGTTTCTTATACCCAAATCTTTCAATCAATCGGAACTAGTACCCTTTAAATACATCTCTTCTTTAACGCCACTCCAAAAATAGTGAACACCATATCCAAAAGAAAAAAAAACAGAACACCAAACCCTTTGCTGATGATACTTATTGTACCTAGTCGCTTCGAGTTGCAATATACAAAACCATTACTTGTAAGCAAATAGATGTGAAGCTTGCTTCATAAACCGACTGATCATGTCTTCTTTTTCATTGTTTGCTTTTTGTGTAGCTTTTTCCGCTTCCCTTGTGCTTGAGAATGGAAAGTTGCTTCCAAAAGATCAACCTTGCTCTGTTCATCTTGACTCTTTTTCTCTGCTTCAAATTCCTTGATTTTTTCATATTTGTCTTCCATTTCCATGGTTTCTCATGATGGTTCCCAAAAAGAGGTGCGATTTTCTTTAGGTTGACGGTGTAACCACCATTTGGTGTCACCTGCAAGATCATATAACCCACCTAGGCTTACATTCTCCTGAATCCATTATCTCCTGAACAAATTTATAGAAAAATCAAACGAATAATTTGGAAATAATACATCCACCGCCTGTTACTAATATAATTTCTAAATCGATATCAATTTTGCATAACTAAGTACTAGATTTGAAGTCAAAGTGGAGCTATCCTACAAATCAGATAGTTAAAATTTAATCGAAAACAATCAAACCTAAAATCTTCAAATCATTATAGGGTTAACCATGGAATTAAGGAACAATTATATACAAGAGCAATTGATTACTCATCTCAACAGTTGATCCGATTAAACAAAGTAGAAATTGGCAGATAATTAACGATGAAGCGAACGACAAAGAGCAATACCCGTTTAACATGAAGATGGGTAACGAAATATCGATCAATGAATCTGGTTTCTTGGTTAGTGGTCGTATTCAGACAAGTCTCCACTATTGTAACTAGTAAAGAGGTCGCGACTACGCAACTTTTGGGGTAATCTGGGAAAAATCGGTAAACTTTAAAAGATATGTGCTGAAATTGTAAATCACCACAAATAGGGGAGAAAGTCGACAACCCTAAAATTAGATTTCAAAAGTGTACAACCAAAAGAATGTACACTGCTGGCGAAAATTCAAAAATGTTGTGGCAATAATGTTAAAGTTGCCAAAGTTAGGAAAATATTGTGACAAAATTCAAAAGGAGATTTTATTTTAATGTCAAAATGTAAAAGTTTTTAGTACAAGGACGAAAAATGTCAAATTCATAAAAGATTTGTGGCAAAAACATCAAAAATGTAAAACTTTTGACTATAAGGACTAAAAGTGTCAAACTCGCTAAAGTTTTGTGGCAAAAACCAAAAAGTAGAAAAAATTAATGAAAACGCAAAAATATAAAACTTTTGAATTTAAGGGCGAAAAGTATTAAATACACCAAAGATTTGTGGTAAAAACCTAAAAGCGAAAAAGATATTATCAAAATCTGGATATTGACACAAAATACCCAAATATAGTTGAGGGACCATTTTTGTTAAAAAAATCCGTCAGTTTACTATTGCTAAGAATCATTTCCATAATATATATATATATATATATATATATATATATATATATATATATATATATATATATATATATATATATATATATATATAAAAGAAGCTAGGAGAGATCGAGGCCATCTTCATTTGGCGGATACCCCTGATGGCAATCGGAACCATTTGCAGTTGAACGTGTAAGGGATGTTGAAGGATCATTCTATGTGGTCAGGTCAAGACATACATTTTGATCATTCTGGTCAAGTCAAGTCGTGTCACATAATGATATTTTAAAACGGGAAAATGAGAGTTCATTTCCGTAATGCACAAAAAAAGTTGAGTGATATTTTAAAACAAACACAATAAGTTCGATGCGCTAATATGATATTTGCTCTTTCTGAAAATCAATGTTCATATTTGCAAATCTAAATTACATAATGACTTATAAAGACGATTTGAGTTTTGGATTCAGATATATATATATATATATATATATATATATATATATATATATATATATATATATATATATATATATATATATATATATATATATAACCAATAAGTTTACATAAAAAAATATTTATATTATCTGTGACATTTAAAGATAATTTAACGAATTTAATAAATGACAAAAATGAGTATCCAACCAATAGTGTTTTTAAAACAATCCGTGATGAAAGTTGATCGCCTCTTTCACAAAAAGAAACATTGAGAGCACGTATTCCATTTCTAGTATTTAAATTCACGTTATTTTTGCTTTTGCTTTGCTTTCTTTTCAATTCTTTTGCCGCCCCCTTCTCTTCTTCTTGTTCCCTCCGTCTATGACACCTTCAACCCGTTATCCTTATTTTAATTCAAATGCTCAGTCAAATCAATATACAACAGTTTCTTCATTTCTCTGTACATTTCTGTAAAAAAATTGTTTGTTAATTTAAACAGTTTCTCTGTTTGCTTCTTTTTAATGGAAATCCGGTTTTCATGACTTTGCTTCATCTTCGATACAAGGTACTACACTATCTCCTTGCATCTCTCTTTCTACATTTCGCCTGATTTTGGTCTCTAAGCTACATACATTGATCGATCATCCTGGTTTATTCTGTGAATTTTAATAATTGCGCTTTAGGTTTTCTCTAATTGATTCTCAATTTGTTGTTCATCGATCACTTTACTGATAATTCATTGAATTAGTATTATATTTTGATTTGATGTTTCAATTGTAAGATCAAGAGGTAGGAGAAACGGTCGATTTTTTTTTAATCATATTACTATGTTTTAAATTGATAATCATACAGTTTATTAAGAAAACAGGCCATTCCATAGGAGGGTGCCTAATTAAATTGGCGTATTTAGGGGGTGTTTGCATTTGAAATGTTTAAAGTGATTATGCGATTGAAGAATCCGAAGATAACTTGAGTAAAACCATAGGTAATCTTACATTTCGATATTTAGTTTTGTTACATCAACTTTAATAAAAAATCATTATCACTCTAAAGGCAAGTCCCTGTCATGAGATTGGATGTAAGGTTGGTATTGATAAAGAACCTACAACAAGAAGAGTCATATTCTAGTTGTAGTGTTCATTTATTGCAAGTAAAATGTCACTAAACCACTCTATGTTCCCATGTCACTTGTTGCAATCTGAATTTGTATTTGTATAAGAACAGCTTTGAAAGTACTTTTGCTTGTAATATTTTTGAAAACATGTATTATTTAGACATGATACGTACGTACATGCTCTAAATTGGTCTCATTTACAATTGATTTTGACACTTTTGAGGCATGTTATAATGGTTGCAAACAAGGACTGAAATTCATGCAAATAAAGCAGATTGGAATATAAGAGACTGTTGGGGTTCATCAGATGGAGAACTACGAAATATTAGAGCAGATTGGGAAGGGTTCCTTTGCTTCTGCTCTACTTGTGAGGCATAAACGTGAAAAGAAAATGTGAGGCTTTTATGTCTATTGTTTAAATCTTTCACATATATGGCATTGATCTAGGTCAATTCGATTGATGAAAACCCTACACTTTCAGGTATGTTTTGAAGAAAATCCGACTTGCCAGACAGTCTGATAGAACCCGTAAATCTGCCCTTCTGGAGGTTTCTATTCCTTTCATATATTTAATAAGTAATACACACATGATTCATATAATAATGTGTTGTCCTAATGGTGCATGTGAGGTTAACCTTTTGGAAAACAGCATCACTATAATCCAAATTATGGAACTTATCTGGTTCTCTTTTGTGCAGATGGAGCTTATTTCCAAAGTACAAAATCCTTTTATAGTAGAATACAAAGATTCATGGGTAGAAAAGGTATAGGTTCTTGTAATATCAATTGGATTATGAATCTTCTCAGTCTCATGAAAATTGCAACATCTTACTACACATGGTTTAAGGAAACTATTCAACTATTTCTCAAATATATATAAATAGAAGAATCTTGTGTGAACCTAAATAAATATCATCATTTCCCATTGTAATGATCATGAGGGTAAATAGGTAATCGTAACATAAAAAAAAAGGCCAAAACACAGATTTTGCAATTTCCATGAGACATCATGGAAAGGGAAGTCTTATAAATTATTTTTTATGGCCATTATGCCCTCACAACCATCTAGAATTCTGAAGCTTTCTGTGTTTCAGGGTTGTTATGTGTGTATTATTATAGCTCATTGCGAAGGAGGTGACATGTAAGCTATGTTGTTTATCAATTTATTACTTTATTAATAAGATTGTTGTTGATGTTTACAATGATTTGTTCATGTAGGACTGAAGCAATCAAAAGAGCCAATGGAACTCATTTCCCTGAAGAGGTGAACCCAATGTTTGTACACAGTTATAGTTGCATGAAAAGGAAAATCAAACACATGGTTTAATAATATATTACACTTTTGCTTCATGTTATCTTGTTTAAATATGCAGAAACTCTGCAAATGGCTAGTTCAACTCCTAGTGGCCCTTGATTACTTGCACGTTAATCATATCCTCCATAGAGATGTTAAGGTTAAAACATTTTTCTGAATTATTTCTACATATTCTGCTGGAGTTATTTGAAAATCAGAATATGTTGTAACTTGATAATTCCATTTATATTTCAGTGTTCAAATATATTCTTAACTAGAGATCAAGAAATCCGACTTGGTAATGGTCGACTGTTTTGTCTTTAAAACCATGAAATCCTGCACATGCACTTCATAGTTTTAATTAGCATTAGTTTTTTTTGTCATTTTCAGGTGATTTTGGTCTTGCTAAAATGTTGACTTCTGATGATCTTGCATCCTCTGTAAGTATATTGCTATAATGGTCTATTTGAAGGTTGTTTTACTAAAGGCCAAGTTTTGCTCACATGTGTTTTAATTTCAGGTTGTGGGTACTCCTAGCTACATGTGTCCTGAGCTTCTTGCAGATATACCTTATGGTTCTAAGTCAGATATCTGGTCTTTAGGTAATTCGCATATTTTTTTTATTGGATTCATTTTCATTTTAGTTTTTAGGGTCTGTTTGGTTGGATGGAATAGAATGAAATGAAATGAAAAAGGAATGGAATTGACAAGTGTTGGAATAAGCAAGATAATGGAATGAGTCATTACATTCCATGATCATGTTTGGCTGGCATATAGGAATGGAATGAATTTTCATATGAACCTTTTATATCATATGTAAATACAACACATAGTTTTAACTCTATTCTATATATTATCATTAATTAATTATAGTTAATGAGTTTTTCTATACATAAATAAAAACTCATTAAACCAAAATAAGTTATAATAAAAATAACATTTTTTTCGTTATATTTTAAAATACAATTATAATTTTGATTAGAAAAATTACATAAACAAAAATGGGCTATAGAATAAACAAAAACACTTCTGACTAAGGTATACAAATTAACAAAATAGAAGGAATCACATTCCTATGGAATGAACCATTCTATTCCTTCCCTGATTCCATCCTAACTAGATAATGCACTCATTACATGCAGGATGTTGTATATATGAAATGATGGCTTTCAAGCCTGCCTTCAAAGCTTTTGTAAGTCTATCTTTTGTTTT